AATAAATGGAGCTGAGAAAATTGGACAGCTACATGTAGATAAATGAAACTAGACCATCAACTTACACCCTACACAAGAATAAACTCAAAATGGATAAAAGACTTAAATGTGACTCATGAATCCATAAAAATGCTAGATGAAAATGTAGGCAACAAAATAGCAGACATCATATACAGCAGAATTTTCACGGATACATCACCTGAGGCAATTACAACAAAGGAGAAAATGAACACATGGGACTACATCAAACTAAAAAGCTTCTGCACAGCAAAAGATACAATCATCAAAACAGAAAGGCTACCCACTGTATGGGACAGCATAATTGCCAATGATATATCAGACAACGGGTTAATTTCCAATATATATACAGTGCTCATCCAACTCAACAAAGGAAGACAAAGAACCCAATTAAAAAATGGGCAGAGGCTGGTACTGGCACAAGAACAGGCATATAGACCAGTGGAACAGAACTGAAAACCCAGAAATAGACCCAAGGCAATACGCTCAATTAATATTTGACAAAGTTGGCAAGAGCATACAGTGGAGTAAAGACAGCCTCTTTAATAAATGGTGTTGGGAAAATTGGACAGCTACATGCAAAAAAATGAAACTAGACCATCAACTTACACCATACACAAAAATAAACTCAAAATGGATAAAAGACTTAAATGTATCAGATAAGGGGTTAATTTCCAATATATATAGAGTGCTCATACAACTCAACAAAAGGAAGACAAAGAACCCAATTAAAAAATCGGCAGAGGAACTGAATAGACACCTCTCCACACAGGACATACAAATGGCCAAGAGACATATGAAGAAATGCTCAACATCACTAATCATCAGAGAGATGCAAATTAAAACAACAATGAGGTATCACCTCACACCTGTCAGAATGGCCGCCATCAACAAATCATCAAACAACAAGTGTTGGCGAGGGTGTGGAGAAAAGGGGACTCTAATACACTGCTGGTGGGAATGCAGATTCGTGCAGCCGCTATGGAAAACAATATGGTGCTACCTCAAAAAATTAAAAATTGAACTTGCATTTGACCCAGTGATCCCACTTCTAGGAATATACCCTAAGAAGCCTGAAACACCAATCAGGAAGAATATATGTACTCCCATGTTCATAGCAGCACTATTTACAATAGCTAAGATCTGGAAACAGCCCAAGTGTCCACCAGTAGACGAATGGATAAAAAAGCTGTGGTACATATACACAATGGATTACTATGCAGCGGTAAGAAAGAAAGATCTCTTATGCTTTGAGACGACATGGAGGGACCTGGAAAGTGTTATCCTAAGTGAAAGAAGCCAAGCAGAAAAAGACAAATACCACATGATCTCACTTATATACGGAATATAATGAACATAACAGTCTGAGGAATACAGTAGACCTAGACACATGGAAGCAGGGCACAGACTGACATCCCTCAGAAGAGGGGATGGGCGGTGGGGGGTGGGAAGAGATAAACCACAGAACTTATATGCATGTATGCGTGACCAATGGACATGGACAACTAATCTGGGGACAGGGCGGAGGTGGGGTGGGGTGGGGGGTGCCCATGGGGTAAAAAGGAAAAATATCTGTAACAAAAAAATAAATAAAAATTCATTAAAAAAAAAAAAAAAAAGCTGTGGTACATATACCCAATGGTGTACTACACAGCTATAAGGAAGAAAGATCTTATATCCTTTGAGATGACATGGAGGGACCTGAAAAGTATTATCCTAAGTGAAATAAGCCAAGCAGAAAAAGACAAATACCACATGATCTCACTTATATATGGAATATAATGAACATAACAGTCTGAGGAATATGGTAGACCCAGAAACATGGAAGTAGGGCACAGACTGACATCCCTCAGAAGAGGGGGTGGGGGGGTGGGACGAGATAAACCACAGAACTTATATCCATATATGCATGACCAATGGACATGGAGAACTAAGCCAGGGACGGGGTGGGGGTGGGGTGGGGAGGGGGGTGCCAATGGGGTAAAAAAGATGAAATATCTGTAACAAAAAAATAAATAAAAAATTAAAAAAAAAAATGGTCAGAGGAACTAAATAGACACCTCTCCAAACAGGACATACAAATGGTTAAGAGACATATGAAGAAATGCTCATCATCACTAATCATCAGTGAGATGCAAATTAAAACAACAATGAGGTATCACCTCACACCTGTCAGAATGGCCGCCATCAACAAATCATCAAACAACAAGTGTTGGCGAGGGTATGGAGAATAGGGGACTCTAGTACACTGCTGGTGGGAATGCAGACTGGTGCAGCCACTATGGAAAACACTATGGTGTTACCTCAAAAGGTTAAAAATTGAACTTCCATTTGACCCAGTGATCCCACTTCTAGGAATATACCCTAAGAAGCCTGAAACACCAATCAGAAAGAATATATGTACCCCCATGTTTGTAGCATCACTATTTACAATAGATCAGATCTGGAAACGGCCCAAGTGTCCATCAGTAGACGATGGATAAAAAAGCAGTGGTACATATACACAGTGGAGTACTACGCAGCTGTAAGAAAGAAAGATCTCTTATCCTTTGAGACTACTCGGAAGGACCTGGAAAGTGGCATACTAAGTTAAACAAACCAAACAAAGAAAGACAAGTATCATATGATCTCACTTATTTGTGGAATATAATGAACATAACAGTGAGAATGGGGTAGACCCAGAGACGTGGAAGTGCGGTACAGACTGACAATCCCCAGAAGAGGGGGTAGTGGGGAGAGATAAATCACAGAACTTATATGCATGTATGCATGAACAGTGGACATGGACAACAAACTGGGGACAGGGCAGGGATGGAGGGGGTGGGGGGAATCAGTGAGGGAAAAAGGAGAAACATCTGTAACAAAAATTAATTAATAAGAAAGAAAAAAAGAAATACTATATATGTATCATTCTTCAATCTGCATAAACTTTATTTTCCAATGTAATCTCAATCAATATTATAATGTTGTCATACTTATTAAACTCTGCCTTTTCAGAAAAATAAATAAATAAATAAAGGCCATATATGAATGACCTACAGCCAACGTCATACTCAATGGGCAGAAACTAAAAACATTTCCCTTAAGAACAGAAACAAGCCTTGGCCAGTTTGGCTCAGCGGTTAGAGCGTCGGCCTGCGGTCCGGAGAGACCCGGGTTCGGTTCCTGCTAAGGGCATGTACCTCAGTTGCAGTTTGTCCTCGGCCCTGGTTGGTCGTGCGGGTGGCAGCCACTCGATGTGTCCCTTCACGTAGATGTTTCTCACTCTCTCTCCCTTCCTCTCTCTCCCTCCCACTCTATCTGTACAAAAAATGGAAAAAATATCCTTGGGTGAGGATAAAAAAAAAAAAAAGAACAGAAACAAGACAGGTATGCTCACTTTCAACACTCTTATTTAACATTGTACTGGAAGTCTTAGCCACAGCAATCAGACATGAAGAAAAAATTAAAGGGATACAAATTGGAAAGGGGGAAGTGAAACTGTCATTATTTGCAGATGACAAGATATTATACATAGAAAACGCTAAAGACTCCGTGAAAAATCTACTAGACGTAATAAATGAATTTGGCAAAGTAGCAGGATACAAAATTAACGTCATGAAATAGACGGCATTCTTATACACCAATGATGAACTCACAGAAAGAGAAACTGAAAAAACAATCCCATTTACCATTGTGGCAAAAAAATTAAGATACTTAGTAATAAGCTTAACCAAAGACGTAAAGGGCCTATTTGTAGAAAACTACAGAACATTGAAAAAAGAAATAGAGGAAGATATAAAATAGTGGAAGCACATTCCTTGTTCATGGATTGGAAGAATTAACATCATTAAAATGTCCACAGGTCCCAAAGCAATCCCTATCAAAATACCAATGACATATTTCACAGAACTAGAACAAATACTTCAAAAGCTCATATGGAACCAAAAACGACCCCGAATAGCCACAGCAATCTTGAAAAAGAAGGACAAAATAGGTGGGATCACAATACCAGATATCAGGTTATACTACTAAGTGACTGTAATCAAAACAGCCTGGTACTGGCACAAGAACAGGCATATAGACCAGTGGAACAGAATAGAGAACCCAGAAATGGACCCAAGGCAATATGCTTAATATTTGACAAAGGTGGCAAGAGCGTACTGTAGAGTAAAGACAGCCTCTTTAATAAATGGTTTTCGGAAAATTGGACAGCTACTTGCAAAAACAAAATAAACTTACACTATACACAAAATAAACTCAAAATGGATAAAAGTCTTAAATGTGACTCATGAATCCATAAAAATTCTAGAAGAAAATGTAGGCAACAAAATTTGGGACATCATGCGCAGCAGAATTTTCACTGATACATCACCTAAGGCAACAGAAACAAAGCAAAAAATGAACATATGGGACTACATCAAATCAAATGCTTCTGCACAGCAAAAGAAACAACCATCTAAATGGGAAGGCAACCCTCTGTATGGGATAACATCATTGCCAGTGATCCATCAGATAAAGGGTTAATTTCCAAAATATATAGAGTGCTCATACAACTCCACAAAAGGAAGACAAAGAACCCAATTAAAAAATGGGCAAAGGAACTAAATAGACACCTCTCCAAACAGAACATACAAATGGTCAAGAGACATATGCAGAAATGCTCAACATCACTAATCATCAGAGAGATGCAAATTAAAACAACAAGGAGGTATCACCTCACAACCCTCAGAAGAGGGCAAAGTGGGGGGTGGCAAGAGATAAACCACAGAACTTATATGCATGTATGCATGACCAATGGACATGGACAACAAAGCCAGGGATGGGGAGGAGGGTGTCAATGGGGTAAAAAAAGGAGAAACATCTGTAACAAAATTAAATTTCAAAAAATAAAAAAAGAAAGAAAAATAAATTAATTAATTAATGGTATCTTTTATGAGTAGACCCAGATTTTTGCACTTCCCTGCTTATTTCCTCTCAATCCTACCCTGTCTTACACTTACCTTCTCTACAAACCAGCAGGGTTCCAATGAGGCCTGCATTCAGGTCTTTCACCAGGTCTACATGAGAAAGATAGGAGTAGGTGAGACATGGTGGGTCAGAGGCCATTGGACCATTCTCTTTCAGGACTTGCCAGATGTAGGTATGACTTTCACCAGGAATGACTTTATCATCTTCCTTCTCCCTTTTGCTGGTCTGATCCTCATATTCAGCACCTAAAGCAAGAATGCATAAAATTGTCCTTTTTATGCCCATTGTCCACTCAGGGAAACATATCAAGTTTATTGTCACCAGTAGATTCTACACAAGAAACAGCCTTTCCTCAATTTAATTTGGAAGACTAACAAGCAGCAGCTATAAATGGGGAGAAGCCTCATATATTCCAGGGGATTTCTAGACTACTAATGCAAATATAAGTGGTTGTATGATTCTCAATGAGACCTCCACACTCTATCCAGCTAATTGCTTCCATTATTGCATATTTTAACCTAACTGAAGTCAATTCAACTCAATAAACACATCTTGGGTATATACTTTGTACCAGACTCTTTAATAAGCATTGGTGAGGGTCAGGCAAGGGGAATATACTAAGATTTTTCAAAAAATATTTTTAACTTGGTTCTTTCTAGAGGGGCAGATATTTCTGGCTGTCCTATCCTTAGTGATGTTAAAATTGATCCCCTGATTAGCCTGATTCCTCTGTTCTAAATTGAGCACTATATGTGTGTCATTTCATCTAGGTCATTTCATTGGACAGAAGTAGAAAATATTTAAAGGCATTGAGCATAGCACTTAGTGCTTCTATTGAAACATTTTTCTAGCAACTCCCCATAGCTTCATAATGGTATCTGAAGTTCCAGAGCAGCCAAAGCATTCAGAGTGCTCTTCATTTATACCCCGTCTTATCCCACAACACGTATACACCTTCTCCAACAGAGCAGTGCAAGTGATCCCTGCACTGCCCCTGCACTGCCAAAACTTTTACTACAAACTCTCAGCAGCCAAAGGCCATCCTAAAGTCTAGGTAGGTCCTCAATTTAAAGTCAGCCTCTCTTGGGTATAGGGGCAACCTCTCTAGTGGGTACTAAGGAAAACTGGTTTCATCAAGAAGCAACAGCAGACCAACACCTCTGCTTGGAAGAACCTGGTGGACATTTAGAAAAACTTGAGTTGGCACCTGGGATAGAGTGTGTGATCTGAGGATGAAATGCATGGTTCAGCTGTCTGTGTGATTGTGGGTCAGTATCAAGTTCTGGATAGTGGATAATATGTTTGGATAGGGAGGGAGAGGTACAGAGGGAGGGGATAATAGAGGGGTACAGAAGGGATTTCACCTGTATCTATACTATATAAATTAAGCAAAGAAGGCCAAATGTTAGGTGATGGGTACATGTTTGTTTGTTATATTATTTTCTATACCTTTGTTTGTTTGAAATATTTAATTAATAAGAGAATACCCTGTTTCCTAATGCTAAGGTTGGGATAGGGGTATGGGAGGTTCTTGAAAGTATGAAACAAAACAGTATAGCTTTTTTGGTGAGAGGGACAGTGAATGGATTGGGAGAAATGTAGCATTAAGATGGCCAGGCAGTGCTGAGGGACCTCACTTGAGGTGAGGTATTATAAACTTTGTGATACAACTCCATTTGGTTGTGTGGTTTTTATTTCAACTATGGCCATTCACTTGATGGCCAGAATAGTTGGAGAACAGATTTAACCAGGGTGGAGGTTTAGCCCAGTGAAAAGAATGGAGATCAAGGAAGCTAAGAATTTGTGAATGCGCAAAGTCACCATGGTTGTGAAGAGCCAGGGCATGTAAGCTGGGTTAGGAGGAAAATGAGGAATTAAGGAGCAAACTAGATGGTGAAAAAAGTATAGGATCAGTGAATGGTAGATCTCAATGAGAATGAAGAGTCATTTGAGTGGGCAGTGACAGAACGAAAACTGAAAAAATAGGAGGTGATGCTCAAAATGTTGAAGGATTGAACTTGAAATTTTAGGGCTGTGTAAGTTGCTAATAACAAGGTCTATCTTTCAAAGGTGATTGTTACACCAAGTAGAGTTGGTGGTGCTTAAGAAAAAGCATTGTGCACAGCCCTTAAAGTTTACACATCCACTAATGTATATATCTTATAGAAGATTTCTGCATCCATCAGTCTTTTCTGAGCTTATACACCAGCCTCCTGCAAATATTCTAAGCAGAATGTGTTTTTTTGTAATTTTCATCTTTTATTATATGAAGAGAAACACTGTTGGGACATTTGAGAGTTCAGGGAGTCTGCCTGTCTGCTTCCAATGTGCCTTTTGCATAGAAGATATCTTAAGGAGTGTACTAAAACAACAGAAATACACTTCTGAAAGGAAGTAGTTATTCCTTGAGCCACTCAAAGCTTTCTCAAGTGTTTTGGGGTTTGAGATACACAATGAAAAGAGAAAAGTTGAGGAGGAAATCTTAGGACTTCTTGTTGAGAAAACTGAATAACTACCCCAAATGTAGTGGTGTAAAACAACCACTATTTTATTATGCTCACTGATTCTGTGGGTCAAGAATTCAGACAGGAGGGCACAGGCAGGATGGCTTCTCTGCTCCATGGTGTCCAGGGCATCACCAGGCATAACTCAAATAGTTGAGGGATGAAAACATGGGCAGGCTTTTTTTTCACTCACATATCTAGTAGTTGGGCTAGATTGACATGAAAACTAAATTTAGCTGGGACTGTTGACCAAAGTATCTACACATGGCCTTTCTTTTGGCTTTAGCTTCCTCACAGCATGGGGATCTTGGGGACTCAGGCTTCCTACATGGCATCTTAGGACTCCAAGAGTGAATGTTTCCACAAACAAGACAGAAGAAGCATGTTCTTTTATGACTCAGCCTCAAAAGTCATATCGCATCATTTCTGCCATTCACTATTTGTCAAAACAGTTACAAGCCCACTGCAGATCAAAGGGGAAGAAATATAGATTCCCACTTTTGATGGGAGGTGTGTCAAGGTACCTGCTACTGTGTTTTTAAAATATCACACCAGAGCATTGTGAAAATGAGCAACCATTGTGTTTTGAAGTTGATAGTTGTCTCAGCAAGCAATGTGTTCTCAGTAACCAAGACTGTTGGGTACTTTATACAAAGACCTTGTGATTAGGTCCAGGGGATGTGGGAATCTCTTTGGTCTCCACTCCCAACCTTAACCCTTTTGTGTCCCTTGATATCTGCCTATGACCTTGTATCTACATCTTCACTCTGCCCAGTCTTTGCTGTACTGTCCTAGACGACCCTCTATCCAACCCCTGCAGCCTTGCTCTTGACCTAGCCTAGGCTCCTGAATGCTAGCTTTCTCAGACAGACATTCCAAATTCTTCTGTCAAGTAGAAGTTTCAACACATTATGAGTCCACATGCCAAGGATTTTTGTTGGTTTCAGTCCTGGAGGGCCACAGCATAGTAACCATTGGACAAAACTGCTCCAACAAAAGCCAAATGCTGTGCTTCAGGGGCTACTCCACCCTGTTCTCTGGTACATTCAGCTATTTATATTTTTCCTGATCTCTGCTCAGAAGCTTTAAGTTGATCATTCTTTTTTTTTTTTTTTTATTCTCAACCAAGGACATTTTTGCATTTATCTTCAGATAGAGTGGGAGGGAGAGAGGGAGGAAAAGAGAGAGAGAAACATTGATGTGAGAGAGACACATTGAGTGGCTGCCACCCATACGACCCCAACTGGGGCCAGGGACAAACTGCAACTGAGGTATGTGCCCTTAGAGGGAACCAAACCCAGGACTCTCTGGTCTGTGGGCTGATGCTCTAACTGCTGAGCCAAACCAGCCCGGGTGGGCTTGATACTTCTTGATTTGTATGTACCCATGCTGTCTTTCAGCTCTCCCTCAAAGTTTTTCAGCTCTGGCTTCTTTGGCAGACACTTCATATGAACTACCTTGGCTTTCATCGTGTGCTTTTAGATTCTATTAGCCACAGCAAGTCATATGGCTAAGCCCAACATCCATATGGTGGGGAAATATGCTCCTCCTACTCTCAGGTAGGGGAATGACTATTTGATGAACAGCAATACACTTTACCACTGTTGGCTTAGGAAATAAAAATGAAAGGCTTACAAAACCATAGCAATACAAAGCATATCAGTGGTTTCCTGGGACTGGGAGTGGGGATGGGCTTGAACTGCAAAGAGAGAACTTATTGAGGTGCCAGAAGTGTCCTAATGCTGGACTGTGTTAATGACTACACAACTCTAAATTTACTAAAAATCATCAAACTACCTGAAATGGGTGACTTTTGTGGTATCTAATTTGTACCTCAATAAAACTGTTTTAAAATGCTATGAGGTAGCCACACACAAAAATCAATTTGAGATGGATCACAGACCTATGTGTGAAGGGTAAAATAAAAAAGCTTCTAGAAGAAAATCTTCATGACTTTGGGATAGGCAAATGTCTTAATAAACAGGACACAAAGATCTAAAATAAAAGGAAAAGTGTGATAAATTATATTGTGTTTCATTAACTGTTGAATTTCCATGCTTTGTTAACTTTAAGAACTTCTGTTAACCAAAAGAAATTTAAGATAATGAAAATTCAATCCACAGACTAGAAAAAGATATGCAAATATTTACATCTGTCATTGGATTTGTATTCAGAATATATAAAGTATCTCTACAAATCAATAAGAAAATAATGAACAACTCATTTGTTTTCAACAGAGAAAGGTCAACAAACATAGAATGATATTCATCATCATAGATTTACTTGACAATCTGGGGTCCCCATACTAGTGCCAGAAGGTCAGGCACTTGTGGATAATAACATAAAAGGACTATAAAGCACATGGCTCTTTGACCATCAATTCACTGTGTTGTTCCTAGACAGAACCATTGTAGATGCCCATGTGAGAAATGAGATAATCCATTTTCCCAGACCTCACCTGGCTTAGGTACAAAAGAGTCATCTGTATGTCAGTCCCCAGCTAAAAAATTGTAAGAACACTGGCCTCTCTAAAATGCCCCTAGATTTGTTCCAGAAGTTCCCAAGTGGATAAACCTCATGGAAATAGCCAGCTAGGCTCTAGCCAGAACCTGAGATGACTTTTCTTTTATACCACCTACCCTGTCCTGTCTCCTTCCCCCAATGCAGGTTGGCCCTGGCCTCAAGAGTGCAACTCAAAAAATTAAGGTCTTCCAATTTCAGAATTAGAAACTGGTCAACATGTAAGCATAGTTAGCCTGTACAATAGGGCCTGTGCTCCAATAATTTATTACAGATTTTCATGAATCTTCTTGATCAATATATGTCATAATCTATCTGGACAGTATCATAATCAGTTGTGGCACCCTCTTCACTCTCTTCCTTCATTGTGAAATTTAAGAAGATAGTAGAAGTGGGGACTGTGGCCAAACAGGTTGTTTGTTTTAATGAAGTCAGTTTGTGTTTCTGCTAGTTGGTTCTCATCACATGGTGGCATCCATATTTAGAAATTGGGGGAAGGGGACAGAGCAGAAATATCTGAAAAGTCAGAATCTAAAAAAGGAGAAGAAAAATTCTGTTTAGACTTTATACCATGAGTCTTGATTACTCTCTAGGAAGTTTTCTGGGCATAGAAAGGCAGATGACATGGGAATTTTAGGATCTGCGGCCTGGCTCACCATGGGAGAACAGGGTACCAAATCAAAACTTTGGGGATTACACTAAAATTACAATGTTGTTAACTTCATGAAATGGGCCTAGGTTTGAATCTTAACTCTACTCTTCACTAGTTACATGACCTCATACTCAATACTCTTCTATCCCTAGGTGACAGGACAATAGGAAGACATTTGACTCACCTTCAGAAGCTTTCCAGTAGGATACACCTACAGCATGAAGACTGACATCATGAGAAGCCATGTTCTTAAGTGTAATGACCACTGTGTCATAAACCTCAGCCCGGATGGTAGGACCCAGCAGACCTGCAAGAATGAGGTTGCCCCCAAAGGTCACTTGGAGTGTGGCACTCTAGAAAACCTGTTGTTTTGAAAGTTATGGTCAAATTCACTGTGGAGAAGCATTCCCCTGTGATTATTGATAAAAAAAAAAAAGTAGTAGTTAAATGAATGAATGTAGAAACTGCTATCACCAGCTCAACATGGTTGTTTTGAGGACAGAGTTCTGGCAATTCATTCAATTCATTCATTCATTTAACTAATACTAGTTGAGTTCCTATTATATTCTAGAAATTTTCCTAGGCAGTAGAGATGTAGTAGTGAATAAGACATATCACAGAGATCACATTTGAGAGACATTAAGCACATAAAAAATAAACAAAAAAAATTCAGGTTATAAATGCTAGAAAATATGGTAGTATGCTAGAAAATGATGAGGTAGAAGGTAGAGGATAATTACGTATGATGATCAGGAAGGGCCTCTCTGAGGAGGTAGCATTTTAGAAGAGATATAACTAATGTAAAAAGCAAGATTTGCAAAGATCTGGTGGAACAGCATGCAACACAGATAATACAAATGCAAAAGTCCTAAGACAGGAATAAGCTTGGCATGGCTGAGTGACATGTGGTTGAAACAAAGTGAATGAGCAGAGTAGTAATAGAAAATAAGAATATAGAGGTAAACAGGGACATAACATGTAGAATTTTGTAAACCACTGGAGTTTGGAGGAATTTGGAATTTACAAGAAGTAAGCAGACTTGAGACTTGTTTTGGAAGAAGAGTCAACAAGACTCACTGATGGATTGGATGTTGAAGATACTGGAAAAAAGAGAGAGAGAAGATCCAGGGATGACTCCTGTGACTTTTGTTTTGCAACAGATGGTCAGGCCATGACACAAAAAATTAAGAGGGGCCCTGGCCAGTGCGGCTCAGTGGGTTGGGCATCATCCTGTGCACCTAAAGGTTGCTAGTTTGATTCTCAGTCAGGGTACATGCCCGGGTTGCTGGAGGCAGCCAACTGATGCTTCATTCTCACATGGATGTTTCTCTCTCTCTCTCCCTCTCCCTTTTTCTCTCTCTAAAAAATCTGTTTTAAAAAATCTTCAAAAAAGAAAATTAAGAGGAAAATCAAGACTTCTGACTTATAGACATATTAAGTATGAGATGCCTACAAATGTTTTATTGAATTAATTAGATTCAATGGGATGAAAACATGAAATAGCTTTATTTTTCATAGTTTTTAATTGTGTTAGATGAAATTTCCCTTTCTCATACTTTGAGCAATCCAAACATTTTTCCAGTAACCTTTACATATTAACAGTATCATTTTTAGGTACTAATAAGTCCAGTCTAGTCTAATATCAAAGTTTGTATCTCCCCTGCAATTTAATGGTTCTTCCCTCCTCCAGCTAAGTTGTGACAGACACAGAAACCTTAATAAGAAAAGATTGTTTGGTTGGTAGTTTCACTGCTTTTTCACCTTTGTCTCCTAATCCTCCTCCCTCACTCACTTACTGCTTCTGAACCCTCTAAAGTTGGAGTTATTGAGAAAATAACAGGGATGGAAAAGAAGCCCGATGACAAGATTTTTCTTAGAAAGAATGGTGGTAAAGTGGCTTTGGTACCTCCCTAGTTATAGCACATGCCAAAATTCTGGATCTTTCTTTCTTAGGGAACTTATAGGAGTCCTTTGGAGATTCTCTCTCTTCAAATATTTGTATACCCCACTCCACTATTCCCTGGCATGGGATATGTCTTCTCCAGCTGTCACTCATATTTCTCCTCTCAGTTTCTACTTCTGGCAGTGCATTCACATATAACATTTTTTTGTTGGGGTCACCTAGCCCTGGAAGGAAGACCTCTCAGATAGGGTCTTCTTGATACAAGTCTTGCCCTGTGACATTTATGGCCGCACACCTAATAGTGGAAGTGCAATTAGCTTTTGCTATAGCCCACTCTCTGTATTATGCCATCACCGGAAGTTCCCCGAAGACTTTGGCCTTAAGAGTTTTTCCAGATAAAAACCAGGCACTAGTCAGTATCTCCTAAACTCCAGAGGTCCATTTCAAGACTTCTAAGTAATTCTCTCAAAGCCTCTCCCACTATAGCTTGATATGAAGGGGAAGCCTCCCTGCCCCCATGGGGTAGGAGATGTACACAGCACACAAAAAAAAATGCTTTCAAAACAAAACCTCATCTAACTCTGTTATACGTCCCTAGCTTTTTATACATAGGCTATAGGTGCAGGATGGACAAAGGATTGCAGAACCAATTTTAAACCACTACCTGAATGAACAGTTCTTGAATAAATGGGCAAGTATATCTCTTTATAATTTAGGGATACTTGTCACCTATCAATTTTAGTAATACTTCTAAGGTAGAAAATGTCTCATCTTAACATCTCGTTACAAGTTTATTTGAAATCTAAGTGAAGGTATCAAGCCAGTAGTCTAAACAGCAAATATAAACTTGGAATTTATTAGCATAGAGATGATATTTTATTTTTCTATTTTTTAATTAATTTATTTATTTTTGTTACAAATGTTTCTCCTTTTTCTGCCACTGAATTCCCCCACCCGCTTCCTCCCCACCCTGTCTCCAGCTTTGTTGTCCATGTCCATTGTTCATGCATACATGCATATAAGTTCTGTGGTTTATCTCTCCCGCATCACCTCTTCTTCTGAGGATTGTCACTCTGTACCCCACTTCAACATCTCTGGGACTACCCCATTCTTCAGACTGTTATGTCCATTATATTCCACAAATAAATGAGATCATATGATACTTGTCTTTCTCTGTTTTGCTTAGGATAATACTTTCCAGGTGCCTCCAAGTCATCTCAAAGGATATAAGATCTTTCTTCCTTACAGCTGTGTAGTACACCATTGGGTATATGTACCACAGCTTTTTTTTTTTTTTTTTTTAATGAATTTTTATTTATTTTTTTGTTACAGATATTTTTCCTTTTTACCCCATTGGCACCCCCCACCCCACCCCACCTCCGCCCTGTCCCCAGATTAGTTGTCCATGTCCATTGGTCATGCATACATGCATATAAGTTCTGTGGTTTATCTCTTCCCACCCCCCACCGCCCATCCCCTCTTCTGAGGGATGTCAGTCTGTGCCCTGCTTCCATGTGTCTAGGTCTACTGTATTCCTCAGACTGTTATGTTCATTATATTCCGTATATAAGTGAGATCATGTGGTATTTGTCTTTTTCTGCTTGGCTTCTTTCACTTAGGATAACACTTTCCAGGTCCCTCCATGTCGTCTCAAAGCATAAGAGATCTTTCTTTCTTACCGCTGCATAGTAATCCATTGTGTATATGTACCACAGCTTTTTTATCCATTCGTCTACTGGTGGACACTTGGGCTGTTTCCAGATCTTAGCTATTGTAAATAGTGCTGCTATGAACATGGGGGTACATATATTCTTCCTGATTGGTGTTTCAGGCTTCTTAGGGTATATTCCCAGCAGTGGGATCACTGGGTCAAATGGAAGTTCAATTTTTAATTTTTTGAGGTAGCACCATATTGTTTTCCATAGCGGCTGCACCAGTCTGCATTCCCACCAGCCGTGTATTAGAGTCCCCTTTTCTCCACACCCTCGCCAACACTTGTTGTTTGATGATTTCTTTTTTTTTTTTTTTTCATTTTATTTTATTTATTTATTTATTTATTTATTTTATTTTATTGATTAATTTTTGTTACGAATAATTCTCCTTTTTTCCCCTACTGATTCCCCCCTCCCCCTTCCCTCCCTGCCCCTTCCCCAGATTGTTGTCCATGTCCACTGTTCATGCATACATGCATATAAGTTCTGTGGTTCATCCCTCTCCCACCTCCCCACTCCTTAGGGGATTGTCCTCAAACTGTTATGTTCATTATATTCCACAAATCAGTGAGATCATATGAAATTTGTCTTTCTCTGCTTGGCTTGTTTCACTTAGGATGATACTTTCCAGGTCCCTCCATGTAGTCTCAAAGGATAAGAGATCTTTCTTTCTTACCGCTGCATAGTACTCCATTGTGTATATGTACCACAGCTTTTTGATCCATTCGTCTACTGATGGGCACTTGGGCTGTTTCCAGATCTGAGTTATTGTAAATAGTGCTACTACAAAGATGGGGGTACATATATTCTTTCTGATTGGTATTTTATGCTTCGTAGGGTATATTCCTAGAAATGGGATCACTGGGTCAAATGGGAGATCAATTTTTAATTTTTTGAGGTGACACCATATTGTTTTCCATAGTGGCTGCACCAGTCTGCATTCCCACCAACAGTGTACTAGAGTCCCCTTATCTCCACACCCTCGCCAACACTTGTTGTTTGATGATTTGTTGATGGCGGCCATTCTGACAGGTGTGAGGTGATACCTCATTGTTGTTTTAATTTGCATCTCTCTGATGATTAGTGATGATGAACATTTCTTCATATGTCTCTTAGCCATTTGTATGTCCTGTTTGGAGAGGTGTCTATTCAGCTCCTCTGCCCATTTTTTAATTGGGTTCTTTGTCTTCCTTTTGTGGAGTTGTATGAGCACTCTATATATATTGGAAATTAACCCCTTATCTGATACATCATTGGCAATGATGTCCTCCCATTCAGTGGGTTGCCTTTCCATTTTGATGATTGTTTCTTTTGCTGTGCAGAAGCTTTTTAGTTTGATGTAGTCCCATGTGTTCATTTTCTCCTTTATTTCTGTTGCCTTAGGTGATGTATCAGTGAAAATTCTGCTCCGTATGATGTCCGAAATTTTGTTGCCTATATTTTCTTCTAGAATTTTTATGGATTCACGGGTCACATTTAAGTCTTTTATCCATTTTGAGTTTATTTTTGTGTATGATGTAAGTTGATGGTCTAGTTTCATTTTTTGCATGTAGCTGTCCAATTTTCCCAACACCATTTATTAAAGAGGCTGTCTTTACTCCACTGTATGCTCTTGCCACCTATGTCAAATATTAATTGAGCGTATTGCCTTGGGTCCATTTCTGGGTTTTCAGTTCTGTTCCACTGGTCTAT